ATAATGCATTGTTAATATATATCTTAAACACACAAAATATATTAATTACTGTATATTATATATCATTAATATATGTCCAAAACATATTAGTTTTATAAAATACAGTAGAACCAAAAATTATTTAAAGAACATTTTGTTTAATTTAATTTTTTACAATGTCATTAAGAGAGTGTTCACACTATAAAAAAGACAAAAAAACCTGAAGAGTTTGGTATTAATAAAACAGATTACTTTAAAACATGCATATTATGTCGTCAAAAACTTGATTTACCTTCAGCAAAAAATTTACAAACCAATAATAATCCAAATAATAATGAGTATGTTGAGCATGAAATTCTATTAGATGATACTGTTGATTTAGATAATTTAGAAGATTATATTTTGACTAAACTTGAGGCATGTGAAAATAATTTAGATGGAATTGAAATCAATATTCATGTTGTTTTACCAAGTGAGAAATTTAATAATAATGAAATGGACCTTATTTTTCAAGAAGTTATTAAAATTATTCAAGCTGCTGATGGATATAAATGGAATTATCTACGTCAATACAATAATGTTAGTAAAAAACTAACATGATGGTACACCTGTTCACTTTCTTCTCAACGTGATCATTCTGAACAAAATCCTAAATGTATATATACTAAGCAAGAACGATTTACATGTCAAGGTTTAGTAAGAATTATTTTTAACCTAGAAAAAATGATTGTGCATCTTTATATACGTCATTATGAGCTTCACTTACACCCAACTATAAAAGAAAATGTTGATAAAAAAGTGATTGAATTTATTAAAAATAATATTCATCTTACTTCAAGACAACTTTGGGAACAGCTACAGTATCAATCACATACACTAACACAAAAACAAGTCCATTTCTGGTGGACTACATTTTATCAAAAACTTTACCTTTGTGATGATGATCAGTTTATTTCAACAACTTATTTGCTACAAGAAGATAAAAATTATTTATTATTATATAGTAATCAAGAAAATGGAATTTTTGAAATTGCATTTACTACTCCATTTTTACGATTATTACATAATAAATATGAAGAAATAGCCATGGATGCTACATACAAAACAAATAAAGCTGGATTTGAACTTTATGTAGTTATGGCGAATATAGAAGACGTTGGTTACCCATTGTCATATTTAATGTTAAATTCATTAACATCTATGACAAATAAACGTACTATAGCATTAACTAACTATTTATATGCATTACAAAAGCAAAGCATTAATTCTGTATTTTTTTTTACTGATAAGGACTTTTCTCATATTAATGCTATTAAAACAGTTTGGCCTTTTGTAAAAGTTCAATTATGCTTGTGGCACTTATGTCACGCTGTTTTACGTCGATTACGAAATAAGGAATGCTCTACAAAAATAGTATATAACTCAATAGAAGTATATAAAATTTTTACTTTTATTAATCCAGAATTTAAACCATCTATAGCTATACAACATTTTTGTTCACCTTCATTACATAATCAAGTACTTTCTTTAATGGTAGAACATTTTAATTACCATCCACATATTCTTTTTGGCACTTCAGGAACATTTTTACAATCATCTACGATTTATGAAAATGCAGTAATGACAATGTATAACTTTTGTGTTAATAACAATTTACCACACTTATGGGCTTATCTTTGAGGAGAATAGTACCAAGCTAATCGTTGATGTATCTGAGCTTGGTCTGCTGGTTTGAATATACCTTTGGCACATACAACAATGATTGTTGAAGCCTACTGGAAATCACTTAAACATGATTTTTTATATAAATTTAATCGACCTCATTTAGATTTACTTGCTTATGTTATTACAAATCAGTTTGTACTACAATTATTAACCAAGTATAATCTTACTCTTGCCGGTCATATTGAAGCTGCATAGAAAAAAGATTTTAAAAAATTATGGCGATTTCTAGCAACCAAAGAAACAACAAATTCAGCACAGTACTATACGGATATCCAAAAATGGATATGTAGCTGCTCCGCCTATTTAATTAATAGATTTATATTGTGCAAACATCTAATTAGTAAAGCAGGTGGTAATTCAATTAAACTTACATCTATACATCGATATACAAGATATCTATTTGTTTATATCGAGCATGTTAATACTAAACTATTAGATTCTTCAACTATTGAATTAGATATTAGTTCAAATTCTGACAATAGTCATAATTTTTCTTTTTCACATATAT